AAAAAAAAAAAAAAAAAAAAAAAAAAAAAAAAAAAAAAAAAAAACAACCATTAAGGTTTTTAATGTTTTTACAAAATCTTTCCTTAAAGCAGAGTATTTACTTTCAACACTATTCCCATGCATACTTAAGATCCAGAAGAACTGCTGCCTGCTATAACCCTGTAGGTGTCAACCGTAATAGGGTAAGCTTGCTCACCAAAGCCTGTGATAACTATGAGAATCTGAAATGACCTTTCTATGGGAGCACTCAAATTAGAAAAACACTTGTGGAAGCTAAAAATGACTTAGGTACAAACTTTTCTGAAAAACTCATTATAACTGTGTGTGTGTGTGTGTGTGTGTGTGTGTGTGTGTGTGTGTGTGTAAAAACACCATTCCTTTCCTTGTTCTGATTTGAGTAAAGGTGAGGATGGCATATTGAGAGGAACACAATTAATTCTCAGTTCTCTTTTCCTCTGAAGATACCTAAGCGAAGAAGCAAGCAGGAAAAAGGGAGAACCACTGTTTCTCCAGTTCATATGGGGTAGCTATGAAGACTTCAGAACACATCGTTAAGATACTAAATCGAGTAATAAGCTTAGCTCTTCAATTAGAAGGCAGGCAACTGGCTTCTGGATTCTGCTTAGAATCCTATATTTCACTCAGTATATCTCTAAGGCCTAGAATGTAAGTGGCACACCACAGAAATTCAATAAACCTTTTTGACATGAATGAATGAACGAACGAACCTCTACTTTAGTGTAAGGGGTCTGCCTATTGTTAAGAATAGGAGTTACTGACAGGAATTGGTATAGGGACATATGAAGAGACATTTATTGATGACCTTAGAATTTATGATCTTATTACTGACCTGATTTAGAGAAAGCCTAACGCTTTATCTCTAAGCAAAACTCACACTAACATTCATTTATTTATCTGTTGACTATGCCTTTTGCTTATCTCATGACGTTTGCTTTCCCCATTGAAGGAGGAGGAAAGGAGGGAAAGCTGTCAAAGCCTTCATAATTGCCCTGCTGCCTCTCAAATATTTAATGTATTGATGCAGTGTAAAGGCAAGAAAACAAATGCAATCCTGAGAATAATTAGCAGCACAGTGTGGGGAGAGAAGCAGGTATGTGGATGAGCTCAGTTATGGATAGTTAGAGTCTTCCATCCTCTTATTTTAGTATGCAAACGAGTTAACTCGGTCAACATTTTCATACAAAGAATCACATAATTTCTTTATCACTGTGGCATCAATAGCTAAAGGTACATCATGTAAGAACCATTAGGTAACAAAAGCAAGAGAAATTAATTTATGTAACTTTCACAGTATTTCTTTTTATTATTAGTTTACTTTACACCCTGATCACAGCTTCCCCTCCCTCCTCTCCTAATTTTATTTGATCTACAAGTTAATAGGTCATTTTCTTTTCTTCTTTAGACTTATTTTTTTATTTGAAATTATGTGTATGTTTGTGACTATGTGCAGTGGAGTGCTATATACACTAAGACTAGAGGCCCAGATCCCGTTGGAACTGGAGTTAGACATGGCTGTGAGCTGCCCACCAGGGGCAGAGAAAATGAAACTCAGCTCCATCAGTCTGTGCTCTTAGCTACTGAACATCTCTCATTTCCTTAATATGCCTTTTTCATGCTTACCAGCCTTCAGCTATCTTTACTGTGACTTTTATGTTACTTTTGAGTATGATCTTCAATTGAACTGATAACAGTTTAGCAATAACCAAGTAATAAAGAATTTCCCAGGGGTCTACAAACACATGTGAAAAAGAATCTATAACTAAATATTCAGACATTAATTTTACCTTTGAAGACAAATTTCTTTGCTGCTCGTCTTATGCCACTTCTCTCACTTGACAGTGTAGTTGGATGGTATTCCCCTGTTCGCTTATAGTATGCAATCTGTTTAAGATGAAGGTCACCATTTTTCCCACTACGAACCATCTTGAACCTAGGTAAGATTATTTAAAGATGTTACTTGAATGACAAGCTAATTCTGTTCCTATTTTGGTTCAGGCTTCTGTCACATTTCTGCTTATGCATGAATTGAGCATTCCCAGAATATTATCTGTGAGGGAGATAATTGCAGTGCAGAACAGAGACAGAGTGATATCTATACACTAAGACATCTGAATGCTAATTTTGAGATCCACTATGACAAATTATCTTTCCTCCTCCATTGCTGTCCTGTGCTCTGTTCTCCCCCAGGGATATCCAGGCCCTGTGCACTGAGCTGGACTGGAGGGGCGAAGCTTGGCTGGGGTAGGTGGATGCAATGCAGGATCTTGATCCGTGTGCAAGGGCAAAGAACACACACCCAGGAACAGCTTCCAAGAACTGGTTAGTTATTGGGGGATGTATCTATGCCCCTGGGGAGGTGGCCAGGGTCTCTGGGGCAAGGTTTTTGTGATTCTGTACATCTGACCAGGACAATGGTGTTGGAAGATACTTTATCTGCATGCTCAGAGGCTGGGGAGTGTGTGTGTGGGCACCTTATAAGGTCAAGCAAGGAGTGAAGCTTGATAACTGTCAAGGTAATAAATTCTTACTAGGGTTGATGGTGGGGCAGCGGACTTTATGGCGCCAGGTTGGGAGGTGGGAGGGAGCCAACTCCTGCTGTCCTCATCTGAGGTATCTGGGTTGAAGCTCTCCTTGACACTTCCTCCATAAGCCTGGGCCATTACAGTCCTACACTTCATGTGATATAAGAAATGCTACATTTCTTCTGTAATACTAAGAAAAAGAAGGAAATGAAGAAGTTTGCTTGGGGTCTCTTACTGCCATCAAAAGAAATGTTATTCACAAAGGTTGATTTTTATGTAGTATTTAAGGATGGAAACATATGCTTACATTTCTTTTAAATATATTAAAGATTACTACAAAGCAAAAACAAACAAACAAACAAAAAAAAACCCTCTACTCAAATCACATCTGATTTTTTTATAACTGTTTACATGATAAATGAGAATGGTTTAGCAACCAGACTCCATTAGCTCTGAGCTACACATAAACCTAGCTCTCCTTTAACAAAAGTGTCAAATAAATAAAACAATATCCCTTTCCATTATGGACTATCATTAATATGGGGATATTTTCAAAGTAAAAGAAAACATTTTCCCCCCACATTTTTGGTGGCAAGAGTGACACTACTGTAGTTATCTAGCTGGCTAGCAACTTAATCATACAGGTTAATTTTTGGTCCTTCTTTCCTGGCTGCCTTGCTCTAAGAGACTGACCCTGGGAGGCTGTATTTGTGGTTTTCAATAGAAATTGTCCAACATAAAGCATTGGCATCTCCACGACTCTGAAAACAGAAGTATCACTACAGTTCCTTCAAAATCCCAAGAATGTATTCTCTGCTGGAACTTGGATACCAATTTCAAAATTCTAAAGAAAATATGGGCCTGCCCATTAACATATCTAGGCATTGTGATAACTAATCTTGGTTGTCAGCTTGAGGTGCCAGGGAAGACGGAGCTTCAACTGAGAAATTGCCTTCATCAAACTGGGGGCCAATATAATATATAGGTTCTGTAATGCTAAGATAGTCCTATCAGAACCTACAAACAGGTTAATGCAGTTATAAGTTATTATCATCAAACAGTGAGTTTTAATTCACCTTTTTTGGAGACGGTCTTGATTGAAGCTCACTCAGGTTTACCTTGAGACTTATAGTCCTCTGCAGAAGAACTTTAATTCAGAATATAGCTGCTCTGGTAAGAGATTACATCCAAAGACCTTATAGATCTGTGTGATTCTGCTGGAATATAGACATAGACATGCCTTTAATCTCAGAAGATAGTGGCAAGCAGATCTCTGAGTTCAAAGCCAGCCTTTTATAGAGCAAGTTTCCAGCAAAACACACACACACACACACACACACACACACACACACACACACAAAACCAAAACCAAAACCAAAACCAAAACCAAAACCAAAACCAAAACCAAAACCAAAACCAAACAAACAAAAAACAGCATAGGTCCAGATGTGGTGTTACACACCTTTAATCCCAGCACTTAGAGGAGACAGAGGCACGCAAATCTTTGAGTTCTGTTCAGGCAGTTTGGTTGAGTCAGTAAGTTGAAAGGCAGTGTAGGGGAGCTGAATTCATGGCAGTTTAGTTTGTGGAGTAAAGAGGCAGTTTTTACCAGGACTGTTTTACAGAGACAGGTTGAAGAGAGACCAAGCTAGACACAGATAAGGACAGAACGAGCCAGAGAATAAGCCAGAAGATTAGAACAGATTGTTAAAGTTAGTCTGAGGCCAAGCAGAGCAATTCGGCAGAAGCTGTGAGAAGCCAGTTTGAATCAGTCAGCTTGGAGAGGAGTTTGAGGCAGGTCAGCTGAGTTGAACCAGCTAGCCAGAATTCAGAAAGAGTTAGACAGGGTGACCTTATTCAGCAGTAAGTCTCAGAGGCTGTAAACATTCTAGGCCTAGATCAGATTGTATGGAGGCTAAAAACTTCCAGGACAAAGCCCAAGCTAGCAGATGGAGGAAACAAGCCTCTGAGACAAAAATTACATCAGGAAAATAAAAGATACTTTTATAGTCCTCCTTTCTTAGCCCTAAGTCCTAGAAATAGAGGCATGCATTGCTATACCTTGCATAACCCATTTTCAACTAGAGCTATTAGTCATTTTATAGTAGATGGCTATACTTCAAACAAATGACAAATGTAGCTATTATGGTTCCTAAAGCATCTTTAAAAGCAGCAAACCATCACAGCTCAGTGGTACAATGCTTGATTAGGATATATATGGCCTTGTTTTTAAACTCCAACTGCGCATATGCACAGTTCACCTACGCACAGACAGAAAGACAGAGACACTGACAGACACAGACACACACACAATTATCTGGCATATGCTAGGCACAAATTTGGAGACACAATAAAGATTAAGAAATGTAAATGTAATAAACAAAATATATATAATAAAAATAAAATGCATATGCTCCTGATTCCCATGAAGTTTACATTTTAGTGGAGTTAGAGATTATTTTGAAAGCTGGGCTCAAGCTGCATTATTCATAGTAGTTTAAAAGTAAAACGGACCCAAGTGCCTAATGACAAAAAAAAAAAAAAAAAAAAAAAAAAATTGGGTATGTACACATAATGAAATATTATTCTGCCTTTAAAAAGAGTTAATTCTAACACATGTAAGAACATGGATGAATCCTGAGGACATTATGCTAAATAAAATTTTATAAAAAGGTAAATATTGCCATATTCAGAGAAATAGAAATTAGAATGGTAGTTCCCAGGACTAAGGCTATGGGTGGTAGATAGTGAAATTGTCATCTAATGGTACCGTTTTATACCCTTCTGTAAATCAGAAACATGCTTGACGGAGCCAGTGAGAGCATGGGATCAGGACATTAAAGCTTTTCCTTGAGGCCCTAATATATGAAGGAATACAGTTCCTTCTCTAAAACCTGGAATATGTGTGAAGGCAGGGCCTTGGGGAGCTGTAACTCCCCAAAAGTTAGATATGGTGAACCCAACTCTTTCTACTGAAAGGAGTGATGTTTAAGAGAGCCAAGGCCACTGAATGCTCAATTTGTGATGCTCCTGAGATACCTGTTGCTCCCTTTGCCCTTGGTTACATTCCTGCTGACTTTGTATCAATGTGTGATGGCTTTCCACTGACACTGTCCCTCTTCCCCCCAAACCTGTTCTTAAGATGCTGTACATTTTAATAAACTTGCTTGGCATAAGCTATCAGCGTTGGTAAGATCCCTTGATCCTGGCTTTCCTATCTTCTTGATCTTCTCATTCTCTGGTCATCCCTCTTAAGATCCTGTCACTGAAGAACAACCTATTAGTCCAGGCCAATACAATACTTTACTACAATTTAAAACATTATTATTTAAAGCAGCTTACAAAGCAGTAGTTTCCATAGTTATTTTTCATTCATACTTAGTTCCTGCTGGCCATCCCTCCCACCTCCTCCTCTTTCTAACCTCCGCATTCCTCATACCTTTCCACTCTCTGTATTCTCTTTTCTACTTTCATGTCACAAGTTTTCATCTGGTCTCCATCACTCTTCCTTAGAACCTTCTTTCCATCCTGTCATGGACCCTTTCCCTTTCCTGTCCTCTACACTTAACCATTTCTAAATTAACACACTAAGTCTTAAAAATTAGAGCTAAGAAAAAAAAAGTCTGAACATGGGAGAACATGTGATAACTCTTTTTCAGCCTGAGCAAACTTAGGATAATATTTTACAGTTCCATTCCTTTTTGTTTTGAAAAGTTTGTAATCTCATTTCTTTTTATGGCTGGATAAAAGTCTATAGTATGTATGTTCTACACTTTCATGACAAACACATTCTATGATGGACATCTGCACTGACTCAATTTCCTTGCTATTGTAAGTAGAACAGTAGTAGGCAAAGATATGCAAATGTCTCTGTGAAAAGATATAGAGAGCTTTGGTATATGCTCAGAAATTGTTTAGTTGGGTCATATGGACATTTTATTTTTAGTTTGAGAGAAGCACCCAAGCTTACTTCCATAGTGTTATACCAGTTTATACCCCCACCAAGACTTAAGAGTTCCCTTTTCTCACATCTTCAGCCTGTTTTGTTGTCCTTTGATTTTTTTAATGACAGTTACTCTTACTGGTCTGAGATGGAATTTCAACTTTGCTTTAATTTGCATTTACCTAGTGGATAAAGAAATTAAGCAATTAAAAAAAAGTTTTAGTCATTTGTATTTCTCTTTTGAGAATTTTCTGCACAGTCCTTTACCCATTTATAAAATTAGATTCTTCATTTTTTTTCTTTAGTATTTTGATTTCTCTCCAAATTCTAGGTAGTAATCCTCTACCAGATGTATACCTGGTAACAATTTTTCTCTTTTCACTCAACTGTATCCTTTACTGTACAGAAGCTTTTCAATTTTGTGAGGTACCTGTACTAGTTACTCTGTCACTGTTGCTCCAAACTACCTGGCAAAAGCACCTAAGGAAGTTCTTCACCCCAACAAGAAAGTCAGTCAGCAGAGGTGAGGCAGCTGGGTACACTGCATTCCCCTGAAAGCTGAGCCCTATGAATATTAGCGCTTGAAGTTATAACAGGTCTTCCCACCTCAATAAATTTTATCTAGTCAGTCCCCCAGAAAGGCATTCTGAGATATTTGTCTCCCAGGTAATTCTAGATCCTGTCCAGGTGACATTAATTTTCCAGTGTCATTTTTGATTGTTGGCCTTATGCCCCAAGTAACTTGAGTCCTATCTACAAGTTCCTACATCTTGATGTATTTCCCCTTCTTTTCCCTCTAGCAGTTTCAGATCTTATGTTAAAGTCATCGAGGCATTTGGAATTAACTTTATACAAGCTGAGAGATAAGGATCTAGGTTCTTCTACAGGTAGATTTCCAGTTTTCTATGCCCCATTTGAGAAAGAGGCTGTCTTTGTTACTACAACTTTTGGCATATCTGTGAAAAATCATTTCACTATAGCTGTATAGGTTCAAATCTGGAACATGCCAGTGCCAAGTTGGTTTTGTGACTATGGTTCTGTAATGTAACTAGAAATCAAATACAGAGATACCTTCCACCCTTCTAAATTTTTGATCAGGATTTATTTGGTCACATTGAGGACTTCTTTGTTTCCAAATGACTTTTGATTTTTTTTAAAGTATTATGAATAATGGCATTGAGATTACAGTCCTTTTGGTAAAGCAGTCATTTCATAATAGAGATTCCTTTAATCCAAGAGCATAGCACAGGATTCTTCTTCCAGGGTTGTCATTTTGTTTGTTTTGTGTTTGAGGCAAGGTCTCATTGTGTAACCCTGCCTGGGTCCAGAACTCCCTATATAGACCAGGCTAGCCTTGAACTCAGAAATCTACCTGCCTCTGCACTAGAATTAAAGGCACAACCACACCAGGCCTTACTTTCAAGTTTGTGTTACAGAACTCTTGTTTACTCCGAGGTTATGTGATGATTTAGACAACTGTGAATAAGAACCTGTCCTTGTTCGCTTCCTCAGGATGTTTGTTAATCATGTACAGAAAGGCTCCAGATTTTTCTATGTTAACTTTTTATCCTGTCACTGGCTCAATTTTAAAAATTCTAAGAGTTTTCTGATTTGAAAATAATACTTTGACCTCTTCCTTTCCTATTTGTATCCCCTTTATTTGCTTTTTATCTTCCAGGTCAAGAAAACAGAGATTTGGCTTTCATGAATGATATTATCCCAAAAGGCTAATTCTAACAGGGCTTCTCCAGGCCATTGGAAACAGAGAAAGGAAAACATATGACTGAAGGAATGATGTGCTTTGGAAAGTAGGGACAATATTTAACACAAATAAAGAAAGCAAAAGTGAAAATTAGGTAACTTCATTAACATTTTAATTCCCCTCAAACTGACCTACAGATTCAGTGCAATCCAACTTGAGAATTGGCAAGTTAATGCAATTATCTAGTTTTATTCTTTGTTAGGATGGGAATGATTTACAGTTTTTTTTAAATATTCCAGATAGACTTTTTATAGATAGTTCAAAAAGAAATAATTTAATTCCATTTTACCCCATCTTTTGTAAAAACCAGTAAATCTAGATATGTGAAATCAAAAGATTTAGACGAATTAAAATGACTTTGAAAAATTATGTATGTAAAAAAATTCACATCAGCTGATTTTAAGTCTGTGGGACTGGAAAAATGACAATTGTTGTTCATCAGATAGAACAGTGCTTAGAAACAGTCACTAAGATATGGAAAAATGATTTTCAACAAGAGTACCAAATAAATGATAGTTTTCAGGAAATGCTGGAACAATTAAACACCCATATATATAAAACAGATGAAGTTCAATTCACATCTCACAATACATGTAAAAATTAGCTTACAATGGGACACAGACCCATACTTAGGGGAAGAGAAAGACATAAGATAAAATGCTGTGAGCTTAAGTTAGACTAAGGATTAAGTATAAAGCAACATTTCTGGAAGAAAAAAAGATTAAAAGGTTTTTAAAAGACACTGCTAAGAAAAATGCAGTTGAGGAAATATTTATAGTACTAAAACAAAGAATTGATGAAGAACTCTCAAAGCTTAACAAGAAAGCCAACAACCTAACTTTAATCATGGGTATGAGATATGAACCAAGAATCCATGAAGGAGATAGCATTAATAAGAACCTGAGAAACACTCAACATCATTAGATAATGGAGAAATGTCAAGTATACAAACATACACAACGAAAACCTGTTAGTAGTAAGTGTTACCAAAGAAGCTCCACAGTGTTGGTGAGAACATATAAAGAATTAAATATGGGATGTTTGGAAGACTGACAGTAACAATTTCAGACCTAGGTCTTAAAGACCATGCTTGGGGAAAAAGCTGTAATAATTGTCCCCTCTTTTCTAAAAACAAAAAGATAAATGGGTTTTTAAAAGTCTTTGGTAAAATTAAAAGCAATGGTAAAATTATATATAATCATTGTTTTATTTATATATTTTCACTCAAGTGGTTTAAAATAATAGAACCTTCTTACTCAGAATCTATCAGAAGATATTTTTCAATATTTTATTAATATTTTAGAACAATATTTATGCTTTACTTCTGATAGTAAAATCCAGAAGACCTGATGAGAGGTATTACTTGCTTTTTTTTCCGTTTCTTTTTTGGGTATCTGTAGCCAAGGCTGTCCTGGAACTAGGTAGATGGGGTTGGCTTCACATTCATGGTGATCCTCCTGTCTCAGTCTCTCACTTGTATATACTTTATAATGACTTATATTACTGTTTAATGTAGTTCATCAACTGATGCTTGTGAGGATAGAGACATGAAAAAGAGAAACAGTAACTGCATAAAACAGAAAAACATTACAATTGTAAAGACTATTTTAGGACTTTAAAAATGTTTTCAAGAAATTTAGGAACTAGAAAATGTATTAAAGATGGCTAATCACAAGGTCTTCACAACTTAGTTTAAGAATTAGAAAAGCTATTGATGGTGGCTCATCACAACTTCTAATGTTGTGAGGTCTTGAGGTTATTTGGTTAAGTTTTTTACTCCCTGTTCCTTGCACGTCAAACAGAACAAATATTTTACCGATACTTATTGCTTAACTTCTTCAATATTTTTTGTGTACCCAATAAAATTAAAGTGATTAAATATCCCTCTAAGTAAGGACCTTTTTTAATCTTGCCTACCAGCCACGAAGCTACCATTAAAGCCAATGAAAGGTTACAGAAATTTTGTATTTCAAGTAAAAAAACATAAAACTTGTAATGTTTTAATAAACACAGTAATGTGGGTCTAGAATCCTGACTTTGGAATTATTCTGCCTAAATCTCTGAAAACTGAACCAGTACATTTTATATTAACTGGAAAATAGCTGGGAATTGACTCCAGGCTATATCCTGCCTCCCTTGTGTATAAATTCGTTTCAGAAGAAATCCCTTTACTTCCATATGCATACAAATAAAGCCTCCCAGGACAAATTCATGTCCATTTTTAAAATTCTCTACCGAGGTTCGAATTCTCCAAGAAGGGAGAATTCAGTGAGATTTTAAAAAGTGTATTTTCCCTTTAAAGCTTGTTGTTAAGACTCCCCACCCCGTACCCCAGCCTCCCCGACCTCGTTTCTTTACTCTGGTGTAGGTTTTCACACTGAGTGGTTACTAAGATCCAGGGTGAGGCATTTCTAGCGTCGGGCAAGCGCCACCCTCGGGTTTTGAATGCAGTCTAGCATTCGCAGCTGCCAGCAAGGGAGCATTCCGTCAGCATTTTCACAGCTTGTTAACTGACTCCTGACTGCCGGGCCCAGGTAATCCTTGCAAAAGCAAGTGACCGTTGACAACTCAATTACAGAGTCGCCACCTCCCTGAGCCCAACAGTCCTCCCCTCTATGCAGCCCGCTTCCGCGTGGCTTTAATGCTCACAGCCCTCCCGCTACGACGGCGCCTGCGCGAAACCTCCACCCAGCCAAACCCTTTCTCTGAGCAGACGAAGGGGACCGTTTTAAAGTTACTGTAATGTTACGTCTCCGTTAAAAAATAATAACTTAAAAGGGTACGACAGAGCACACTAGAATGACCACTCACCGAAGTGGTCCTAAATGCAAACCGCAGGTTTTAACACTCCTCTCGCGACTTATCTGGTGCTGCCGGAAGCGGAACTACTGGGGTCGGACTTCTGGTAGGGGCTGTGGAACCGGAAAGCTTAGGCGGATCGTTGGTCCGCCGGAAACTGTTCCGGCCGGGGCAGTTTCCGAGTGAGACTGGTGGGGAGAGGCGGGGGAGAGGCGTGTCGGAGACTCGGGAGGTGTAGCCGTTCCGCTGCTGCTGAACAGGGAAGACTCGGTCCACGCCTCCGAGAGCCTCCTCTGCCGGAACGTCTCACCCTTATCCCCGCAATTAAAGGGGTGGAACCGAAACCTGGATGGGCTCAACCATCTTCCTCAGATCGCGTGGTGACTGCAGCCCGCGGCAGGTGAGGAGCGGGAGGTCGGTGGAGCACCGGAGCCAGACCCAAGGGCTCACGGCCGCCTCTCGGTGTTTGCTTTGTCTCTGCTCTACTCTGCGGACCCTAAACACGTGCTCTTGCAAGAGGCACGAACACTAGCGGATGACAACGTGGTCTTGGACGAGTGACAGTACAACCCGCGGGTCCTTTCCAGGCTTGCTGTCTCTTCCACTTCCCGCGTCGCTTCCTTTTTTCATTTCGAGGTTTTGAAAAGCCAGAAATTTTAGTGCAGCTACCCAGGTTCTACTTCTATCTGAATCTCCTTCCACAGAGGTGTGCTGCGTTGTTTGTATTCTGCTGTGGGGAGAGGTGCCTGTTTCGTTCTTTAGTCTTCATCACTCTGCCAGTCTTTGCTTTCCACACCCACTTTCAAAGAACAAAAGCACTGTGTGCGGCGGCTTTGCCTACCTAGTAAGATATGAGGTTGCAGGTCAATGCCGCACCCAACGTTATTGATAAGACAGCGTTGCGTCCTCCCATGTAGGTAATGACCTTTGGATCTCATTCTCAAGGCCCTGACGACGTGCTAAGAGGTACCGTTCTTGGAGTTTTGTGGTAATGGTCGTCTTGTTTTCAGCGTCCTGGAGAAGTAAGAAGCATGGCTGACTTCTGCTTCATCGCCCTAGGTTACACTAGGACAGGGTTTTTTCTTTTTTTTTCTTTTTTTCTTTTTTTTTCTCTGTTACAGTTTTTCTAACTGAACTATAAGGCTTTAGAACGGTAACATACTGATAGCTGCTATTAATAGGTAATTGTGCCAAATGCTTTGCACATATATATTCATTCAGTCTTTCAAAAGTCCCACGAAGGTTGTTAGATTATTATATTCTTAAACCGGAAAATGGAAAGTTAGTGAGGTCATGTAACTTACCCAAGTAACATTTTGCTATGGGTAAACCTTTGAATCTTTACCAGAAACTAGATCTGAATCTAACATCTGTATTTTATTGTCCTGCCAATTGTTCTTGTTATTCCGGTTTCTTCATTAACATTTTCAGAAGTTAAAAGTACTTATCCATTTAAGAAAGCACAGAATGTGCTTTTTTTGTGCCTTACAAATGACAGTCATGATCCCTGCAACTTTTGTATGTGATGGAGGATTAAATATTTCAGAACCTTAAAATGTGTTTTCTGCTTCATAGACAATTTTTCTGAAAAAGCAAGTCATAAAACTGATGAGTAGAAGGCTCATAATTGGAAAATCAAATCTTCCTACGTTTTATATCAATGTGATTTGTGGAGTAATTACGGGGGCATTAAATTGAACAATTGATAGGATATTGAATCTAATACTACACATATGAGTGGTTCATTTAATCTTTCTGAAAATTTGAAATGTTTAATAATTCAAAACAAAACCTTGAGCTCTCATAGAAATAGATAGTTGGAAAGAGGTCTCTATGGATCACAAAGGATAGGGAAAGAGTAAGTTGTGTGTTTGGGGTTTGGTAGATGCATGACATTAGTCTAAAAAGCATTCTTTGAAATCTTCCACTTGTTAATTTCAAAAAGAATAGGAACTTCCTCCAAAATGGCAGTGAATTCCTCACCAAAAAGCTGACTCAGCAGAAAGGTAAATTCCAAGCAGAAGAGCCAACTCAGCAGAAAATTCATAGCCTTTGAAGAGCAAGGGGAATCAGTCAATGCCAGAATTGTATGGAATTTGGAACGGACTTGGTTTGTATAATAATAATAATAATAATAATAATAATAATAATAATAATAATAATAATAA